GGGGGGGATGACACTGGGTATAAGTTCCCAGTCACTGCTAGCTCTGGGATAACACATGCAAAGTGGCTCCTGCCCCGGGCTCCTTCTCTGGACACCCACGGATGCCTTAGCAATGCCTCGCTGTATCCTGGAATACAGAGCCAGGCTCTGGACAGCAAGTGCGTAACTGCAATAGATCTAGCCTTGGCACCCTTCCCTTTTGAAGACGTGAGACCTGGTGGTAGGAAAAGCAGCTCACGTGAGAGAGCAGTCATCTTGAAGATAGTGAAAGTTGAGTCTGTAGATGCCCTTTGACTTATTTACCTGGCCCGGTGGGTTTACTCTGGGGCAGTGGCTGAGGTATGAGAGGACAATTACAACCTCAAGGGCCCAAGCGTAGAACACACATAAAGGAGAGGACACGGAGACAGAAGCATCTCCTTCCTCTGCTTTGCACATCTGCCGCATTTTTAGTCAGCAGTGGCAGCGTGGCGGTAGTGGGCAAGGGTACACTGGGCGGAGAGGGCCACGCATCTTCAGGGGTGACAGTCTAATGTGGTTAGACTGTAAGTTTCACTGACGAGACTGGGAAAGTGTTAGGGTTCCAAGATGATGCCATACCACTTCCTGCAAACATAGACCAGTGGTGACCCCGTGTGCTATGTCTTTCTACAGTGCCAAGGCTGGCTGGAAATTCCTGGACTCGGTGATCTTCCTATCTCAACTTCCTTAGTAGTTGGGACTTCATCATGCCCACATATTAAACATATTTTTAAAAGTACAATTAATGTACTAAGATAGATGAGGAAGGGAAATGATATAAAGTGTTCAATTAAAGCCAGAGAAAGTAGAAAAAGGGTAGAAAACAAAAATAGATAGAATAAGGACAATAATAGAAAACAGTTACAAATGCAGTAGGTATTAATACAATTCTATCAATAATTACTATAAATGTCATTAGTCTAGATACAAAATTAAAGTCAAAGATTCTCATAGTAGATAAAAAATAAGGCCCAATGAACTTACATTGTCAATAAGAACCACATTTTTAGTTTAGAGATACAGATGGACAAAAAGTAAAAGGATGGAGCAAAGACATCTGGAGTGTCTACACTCATTTCGGAAAGCCCAGGCTTCCGCTCAAGGAAAACCATCAGGGAGAACAAGGGAAGGGCTTTGCGCCAATGATTATTGGTAAATTCTCCAGGAAGACACTGCAGTCCTTAATGTGTTATTCCCTGTCTGGTGCCAGCTACACAGAATTAGTTCTGACTCCCAGGTGAAGGGCTCTGTCTTCCGCAAAAAGCCCTCACACCAAACCCCAGCTGGAAGCTCCAGCATTCTGTCATCACTCAATATTTCTGCCCAACTGGCTACAAATTCTGAGTTCCTACTGTCCTCTTACTTCGCAAGAATGACTCTTGGGTGTTGATTTTGTCCCTCCTGTATTTCGCATATGAAGAAACAAATCTCTAATCCAGGTTTTATAACCTCAGCATCATCCATGATCTGCAACCATCTGTAGAGAATGTTCTGCAACTGTCAGGGTTCCACTGTACTCCTTTCGGCCTTTCCATTTCGGTTCAAGTCTGAACAGCCGCCAGCATCTGCCTCTCCTCCTGCTGGAAGAGCCAACACTCAACTTATGAGATTTGTAGTAGAAATATCCCATTTTCTTGCCCCTGGGGATGAGCACCACTGTGCAGTGTGTCTGTAACCCTGGCTCCAGTGCCCTCCTCAGACGGAGTTCCAGGGGCCGCGTGGTGACTTCCTGGGTAAGGCTTGCTTCACCGGCTGCCTTCCCCTCCATGACTCACTTTCCTGCTCCCCTCGTGGTATTTCCTTCACCTCCTAAACAGACTCCATTTCCCTTCAATGCTTGTTCCAGGGTCTGTTTCTGAGGGAACTCGAGACAATTGAGGTCCTAGAACAATGTTTCTTAAATTTCCTAGTGCTGGTTACCACTGCTGGTTGAGTCACTGGGTGTGATCTGAATGTTGGCTTTCTCTTGTCTGCAAGGTATGAGTTATAGGAAAGAAATCCTGCGACAAATTTCTCATTTTTTAAGTTTTCTTTAAAATTAATTAGGAATCATTACTGTAACTGGCCTTAAAAAATTTCAGATATAATTCATGTACTATGAAAATCACCACTCCAAAGATACCCCACAGTAGTTTTATTCACTGAGTCATGTAACCATCCCCACCATAAAATTCCAAAGTATTTTTATCACAGCAGAAGAAAACTTGTACCTAATGGGAACTGCTCTGTATTTCCCCTTGTCTATAGCTCCTGGCAACAATTATCTTCGTGTTTTGGCTTTTTGGCTTTGCCTGTTCTGCACATTTTATATAAATGAAATCATCTACTATGTGGCCTTTTGTGCAAGGCTTCTTTCTCTTAACATAAAGTTGCCAAGGGTTTTAAGAGTTGTAGCATGTGTCAGTACTTCATACCTCTTTAGAGGTGAATACTAGCCCCTTGCATGGATATACTATGTTACATTTATCCATTCATCAGTTGCTGTACATCAGCTTGTCTCCTCCCTTTGGCTATTATAAATAATGCTGTAAAGGTTCAGGTACAAATTTTTTTTTTTTTGGTTTTTCTCTGGTACCAGGAACCGAACTCACGACCTTGCGCTTGCCAGGCAGGCACTTTTGCCGCTGAGCTAAATCCCCAGCCCCAGGTACAAATTTTTGCTTGAACACTTGTTTAACAGCTCTTTTCATTTCTCTAGCATACATACCCAGGAATGAAATTGCTGAGTTATAGAGTATGAGCAACTCTGATTAACCTTTTGAGGAAATGCCAGACTATTTTTCAAAGTGGCTGCACCACTAGACATTCCCACTAGCAATGTATGAGGGTCTCAGTTTTTCCATATCCTTGCCAACATGTATTTACCCTCTTTTTTTTAGCTATAGCCACCCTGATGGGTATGGAGTAGTATCTCATGTGGTTCTGCTTTACATTTACTAATGATATTAAGCATATTTCAAGTGCTTATTATTCATGTATATATCTTCTTTGTAGAGATGTGTATTCAAATCCTTCCGTCATTTTAAAATTATGTGTCTGGTTATTTTTGAGTCTTAGAAATTCTTTATCTGTTTTAGATACTGGACACTTATTAGATATTTTGATTTTCCAACAGTTGTTCCCATTCTTTGAGTTGTCCTTTTATTTTCTTGGTTATTTCTTATATTTTCTTCTAAGGATTTCATAGTGTTGGTCCTACATTTAGGCCTTTAATCTGCATTGTGTTAATTTTTGCATATGGGATGAGTGTGGGCCCAAGTTCATTCTTTTGAAATGTGAGCACTTGGTTGTCTCAACAGCATTGCTGAAAAGCCTATCATTTCTTCCACTGAATAGTTCCAGTTTTCTTATCAAGACTCAGTTGACTCTGAATGTATGAGTTTCTTTCTAGACTCCCAGTTCTATCCATC